GGCTTCCTTTTAGAAATCCGACCAAATACATTACATGAACCAGTGAATATTTCACTGTGCACCAACAGATGCGATGTCAGCTCACAGAAGAAAAAACAGCATTTTGATTCTCAAAGGAGTTTTAGTCGCACATGATTTACCTGTTCTGAAACTAGTTATGGTCTGAATGTGATTTTGAGGCCAGGAGCCATCTGGATTCTGGGGACAGTCACAGCGTTCACTGCCCTGGCCAGTCAGATTCACATTATTGAGAGAGAGAGAGAGAGAGAGAGAGAGCGAGGGAGGGAGTCGACAACTAATCTGTGATTCCCCCCCACACGCTTGTACACCAAACACAAAAACACTAGCACACTGAATTTTAAATTGAAACGTTCAGAAACTGTTCTACTTTTTTCAGAGTTAATTTGTTTCAAATTAATGTTCAAATTAGTTTCAGCTTCAAAGGACTTTAAACAAAATCAGACAATGAATAATGATCTTATCTAGGAGCCTTCGAGTCATGACTCGAAAAAGATTCATTCATTTTGATAAACTCGCATCACAGAACAGAGCAAAGTGAGCATTTGAGCTTATAAAACTTAAACTTCAGTACTTATTTTTTAAATGATCAATCGTTTCACTAGATAAGACCCTTATTCATCGTCTGGTGTCGTTTAAAGCTGCACTGAAACTCTCATTTAGACCTTGAACCATTTGGACCCCATTGAAGTCCATTATATGGAGAAAAATCCTTGAATGATTTCATCAAAAACCTTCATTTCTTTTCGACCGAAGAAAGAAAAACATGGACATCTTGGATGACATGGAGAATAAATTATCAGCAGAAGTTTTTTAGGATTCAGTATTCGACAGAATCTTAAGCAGTGGATTTGGTGCATCCTAATAAGAATTAAACTTCTGCCGGTCTCAGCAAGAGCAAATATTCTGCAATAATCTAATTGGATATTTGTTGAGGGCATCACGGTAGTGTTAACTCACGTCATCACCGCAGCACACACTTCTAAACCATCTAAACCTCAAAGAATTCTATAAAAGACAAATGGACAGTTCATGGAACAAAAAAAATTCCTTTTATTGTGATTTCACCAAGAACAGTTTATGATCTGGGTCTCTCCTTCTTGCCTTTGTACAGAGCCAGAAGAGAAACGTTGGCCACCTTCACCACCTTGAAACGAACACCAGGGATATCACCCACGGCGTGTCCCTTACGACCGAACCCTGCCACCAGAACCTCATCGTTTTCCTGGAACAGAGAAATTATGTCCTTGATTAATGCAATGATTTATTCTCTTAAACTCAAATATAGCAAATAATGTCTAGTTACTAGGGGTTTAACATATCGTGTCTCAATATAAAAATGCAACAATATGCATCATGGATAGTGACTATACATATTGTGTTTAGTTCACCCAAAATTGAGGAGAATGCAATGAGGGAAATATTTTTGATAATGCCTAACGTCTTATGTTGCCAGTAAAACATGGCCTACATTATTTTAAATTTAAACTAGTCAGAGTGAAAGCATGTTTGCCTAAAATAATTCTGTATTTTCAGCTTCAGAATCATCAATATTTTTTATTCTGGTGTCTCTATTGTCCTGTGCCAGGTTTCCAGCACCAAGTCCAAGCCTATTCATTTACACCCACAATGCAATATAAACAAAATCAATAATATTGTATAGTGAGTTCAGGATCGTGATATGAGAGTATTGTTACATCCCTACTAGCAACACAAGCATCCAATTTACCTCAATGAAATTCAAGCAGCCGTCGTTGGGCACGAAAGCTGTGATCTTCTTGCCGTTCTTGATCAGCTGGACCCTGACGCACTTCCTGATGGCAGAGTTGGGCTGCTTGGCTTCAACACCACTGTCATGAGGACAAACAAAGTTAACGTCATTTTTTTCCCCCTGTAAACCTACATATTCATCATTGTCTTGATGCACATCGCCTTACACTTTCTCAAGCACGATGCCTTTAGCGTGAGAAGCTCCACCGAAGGGGTTGGCCTTCAGAGCAGTGCCCAAATGAGCCTTCTTGTACTGTTTATCATGCCATTTCTGCTCGCGGCGGTGGTTCCGCAGTTTTCTAGCAGTACGCAGTCCACGACACTTGCCTAAAGGAAGAAAAAGGGAGAAAGGCATAAGAAAAAGCAGTTGCTCATACACCCAGAATCTGACAATTAACATGCATGACATTTTGAACAATTTTTAATTACATGGAAATCTATTATACCTATAAAATGGATTAGAACTGAATAAAACTCACTAAAAATAAATAAATCAATTGGTGGGGAGTGTCAAAAGCTTCAAGATGCTCATCAAAAAAGAAACCACACTTAGAGGGATGGTTGGCTCGGATTCGTCGAAAAGCATATAAGAAACCTTATAGCATGAGGATTCACTTAAGATTCAAACTACTGTTATGACGTCTTAAAATAACCCTAAAGAAACCAACGTTGCCATATTATTAATGCAGAATTTATAAACGCACATCAAAAGGCCGTTTAATACTGTGAATTAACGTGTAAGTGTAAATGAAAACCGTCTCAGAGTGTTTAGTGCATCACTGTATGAGCAGCTCATGGCCGCTCCACGATGCGTCCGTTAGAAAACACAAAATAGCTACAAAAACGGCTTATTAGCGATCATCACTACGTATAAAGCGATACATGAAGCTTTTAACGACATGTAAACCCAGATAATTATGAGATAATATCAAGTATTAAAGCGTTTTGTGAAGTTTTATTGTCGCCTCACACGTACCCATGATCGCGTGCTCTGAGTCCGGACAGGAAAGAACGATCACGTGACGCTCTGCGCAAATGACTGCTGGAAGGACCCCACGGGAAGCCAAAGCGAGCGCCTGTACAAAAGGATGTGAATTTCCGCCTTTTTCTTTTTCATACCTCTGTCATTTGAATGACAGAACTGATACTGTCATATATTTATATTTATCTGGTTTATTTTACTTCTATTCAAGTCGAACTGTTTTATTAAACACCTACCTACTTGATTCACTGTGATTGGAGAAAAATGCATAGATTACCATATTTGTGGAGCATTACGACACTTGCAATGAAATCCAAAGATTATGGCATTAACCATGATACTTTTTTTGTGCCAGTACTAGTAGCCCACTTTTATTAGTTTAGATAGATAGATAGATAGATAGATAGATAGATAGATAGATAGATAGATAGATAGATAGATAGATAGATAGATAGATAGATAGATAGATAGATAGATAGATAGATAGATAGATAGATAGATCACTGTGCAACTCTATCACTAGTGCTGTCACTGACACACACACACACACACACACACACACACACACACACACACACATATAAAATAGGCTAATGCAGGAGGAACAGACTTGCTTCGACCTTCAACACAGTTCACAGTCAATATACCATTGTCTAATGTTCGTTAATTATTCGGCTAATTAGTTAGGTTTCTGGATCAGTCGTTAATAGCTCCTGCTGGTTTGTGTATTACTGTGTCAGCAGCACAGTGATGGCCAGTTCGTGAACGAATCGTTCTTTTGAACCGGTTCTTTTTAGTGAACCGGTCGAACCAGTACACTAAATCGGACTGAATCGTTCGAAACAGCTCGCGTCTTGCGTCAGCGCTAAACCACAAGTTACTAAAGTTACTCACTTTCAGACATGCCTGACAGTCCCTCCGAATCGAAATAAACCAATATCCAGAAGTACATTTTATTCCAGTAACTCAAAAAGTTCACTGAACGGAGACATATGTTGGTGCTGAGAGAAGTGATGAGCACGAGCAGCTGATACTGCGCATGCGTGTACTACCGAACGTACAGATACAGCGGTCGGATAACCAGTACAGAACCGAGAAGAACTGTTTCTTTCGGACACGTTCGACATATTGAGAACTGATGAGTTGATGAGCTGAGCATGCGTGCATTTTTTTTCTGAGGGACGAAATGTACGTTTCCACGTCTTTAGTTGAACATCAGTAAGTGTAACAAAATAAAACATTTTGGAAACATGTTTATCCCATTACTGTATCACTGTATTATTTTAACGATTGGAAATAATGATTGGATTCTAAAACTGTCAAACTACTAAACATTTATTATTATACTAAAATAATATTTTCAGGACTCATTTAATTTCTAAGTAACAATATTATAAATCTTTGATGTAAACTCTTGCCAAGGTTTGGTGCACTGCTTAGTAAATGTTTATGTGTTAACATAACGAATTAAACATATATGTAAACATATGTTTAATTCGTTATGTTAACACATTATAAACATGATGTATACTGTTACGTATAGGCTACAGGCTATATTGGAGACAGACATGCATCGATTTTTTAGTTTTGTCGACTGTATATTCAGGTTTCAGCTCAGCACAGGCCTATGCTATGGTTCTCGAGTCGAGAACTGGTTGTTGCAGTCGACTGTTTCTTTCGGACACGTTCGATACGGAGAACCGATGAGCTGGAGATACTGCGCATGCGTGATAGCACCGTCTCTGAACAGAACTTTCTTTCGGCCGGCTGATCCTGTGCTGATATACGAGCACGCAGTAGTACGGGTGAACCCAGGACTTAAATGAGAGGGCGAATCGGCGAAATGTAAGTTTATTTAATAACAAATAAAATGATGAAGACCATTTATGCATTTTATATATTTAAAACATGTAAAACATCCGCGTTAGCACATCGCCTAGGCTGCAGCAGGGTTCGTTTTCAAAATGTAAATGTAAGAAAATTATCCAAGATGATTATGACAATGCATACTATTATTTAACTGAAGTTGTGATTACAAATGCCTTTAATTTGAAGTATTTTTATCCGCCGGGATGATAGAATTGACGTCATTACGTGATGACGTAAAAGAACTGGTGAACCGGTTTTTTGAACCGGTTCATTAAAACGAACTGTCCGAAAGAACCGGTTCGCGGAAAAGAACCGGACTTCCCATCACTAGAGCACACGTTCTTTGAAAGGGCGTGGCCGT